ACAAGCTGACTCCCCACTGAGTGCAGAGCCCAATATGGGGCTCAATTCCAGGACCCTGAAATCATGACCTGAGCAGAAGTCAGACACTTAGCCAAATGAGCCACTCAGCTCCCCCGCCCCCCCCCCGCCCCGTTGGTTCTACCTGGAAAATATCTTTCAAATCCAACAACATACTGCTTCCACCACCACTACTACTATCCTCTTTCAAGTCCTACCACCTTCAGGTCCTCATCAGTTCTCATCTGGCCCCACAGCTTCCTAATGGATCTCTATGTTTCCACTCTTGCTCTCCTCCAGCATCTTTTTCATTCAACAGCAAGTACTTAAAAAAAAGATTTATTTATTTTATGACAGACACAGAGAGAGAGAGGCAGAGACACAGGCAGAGGGAGAAGCAGGCTCCATGCCAGGAGCCCGACGAGGGACTGGATCCGGGGACTCCAGGATCGCGCCCTGGGCCAAAGGCAGGCGCCAAACCGCTGAGCCACCCAGGGATCGCTACTTTTTTTTAAAAACATAAATACATTCATCCTAAGGCAGAATTTCTCTCCAGATATGAACCTGTGAAATCAAACAAGTTATGTGTTTGCAAAATACAACAGCAGGAAAAAAATACAACAGCAGGGAGGCATAAGACCTTCTCTTTCCAAAAGGGAGAAATTGGAAAAAAGAAAGGGATGACAAGTACCAAACAAGTCTAAAATGTAACAAAGTAAATTTCATTAGTTTGTCTTTCCTTCCTTCCTTCCTTCCTTCCTTCCTTCCTTCCTTCCTTCCTTCTCTTTCTTTCTTTCTTTCTTTCTTTCTTTTTCTTTCTTTCTTTCTTTCTTTCTTTCTTTTCTTCTCTTTCTTTCTTTCTTTCTTTCTTTCTTTCTTTCTTTCTTTCTTTCTTTCTTTCTTTCTTTCTTTCTTTCTTTCTTTCTTTTTTCTTCTTGCTTTCATCTCTTATTGCGGTTAGAAGCACATAAAATCAAATGTACCATCTTGGGATGCTTGGGTGGCTCAGTAGTTGAGCATCTGCCTTTGGCTCAGGGCATGATCCCGGGTTCCTGAGATTGAGTCCTGCATTGGGCTCCCTGTAGAGAGCCTGCTTTTCCCTCTGCCGATGTCTCTGCCTCTCTCTCTGTGTAACTTATGAATAAATTTTAAAAAAATTTTAAGTACCATCTTAACTATTTTTAAGTGTACAGTTCAGTAGTATTAAGTATATTTACATTGTTATGAAACAGATATCCAGAACCTTCTCATCTTGCAAAACTGAAACTTTATACCCATTAAAGAACAACTCCCCTTTTCTCCTTCCCTCCAGCTCCAGATTACTAACCTACTGTCTCTATGAATGTGACTGCTTTAGATCCCTGCTATAAGTGGAATCATATAGTACTTATCTTTTTTTTTTTAGTATTTATCTTTTTATGACTGGCTTATTTCACTTAGCATAATGGCCTCAAAGTCAACCTATGTTGTAAGATGTGACAAGATTTCCTTCCTTCTTAAGGCTGAATAATATTCCCTTGGATATTTATCTACTCATCTCTTGATGGCCACCTGGACTGTATCCACCTTTGGCTATTGTGACTAGTACTAGGTGTGCTACATGAGTGGGCAAATATTTCTGTCTAAGATCTTGCTTTCAGTTCTTTTGGATATACACCTAGAAGGCAGATTGCTGGATCATCGGGTTGTTCTATTTTTAATTTTTTGAGGAATTGTTGTTGTCCATGGCAACTGTTCTACTTTACAGTCCTGCCAACAGGGCACGAGAGTATCAGTTTGTCCCTAGCCTCACCACTTGTTATTCTCTGTTGTTGTTTTTGATAGTGGGCATTGTAATGGGTGTGAAGAGATTTCTCATTGTAGCTTTGATTTTCATTTCTCTGATGATCAGCAATGTTGAGCATCTTTTCATATGCTTGTTGGCCAACTTGTATATCATCTTTGGAGAAATGTCTGTTCAAATCTTTTGCCCATTTTTAATCAAACTAACTGAGTTATTTTGTTGTTGAGCTCTTTATACATTCTGGATATTAACCCCTTATGTGATGCATGATTTGCAAAATCTTCTTCCATTTCATAGGTTGTCTTTTCACCTTGTTGATTGTGTCCTTTGATGAACAAAAGTTTGTAAGTTTAAAGTAGTTCTACTTGTCTATTTTTGCTTTTCTTGCCTGTGCTTTTGGTGTCAAATCCAAAAAAATCTGTTTCATTAGATTTAAGTATCAAAATAACCCTCAGTTGCTCTGTGCTCTGCCCTCAAGCTCCACTGAGGTCACAGCATTGTCCCTTCAGTTGAGGGGGATGGCTGGCCTGGCCCAGTGAAACTGAGAAGGAGATGGCCTTGCCTTCAAGGTCCTTGTCCTCTGGGCCTGATCTCTGAATCAACTTCAGTGACATTGTTACCTTTTATTCAAAGATAGGACATGTTGATAGCTCTGTTGTCCCATCCTGTAGAATCCTAGTAGACTTAGTCTCCCTTCATTTTGTCTTCTCTCTGTACCCTTAGTCCAAGATGGTAGTGTGTCTGCTGGCATCATGCCATTTCCATTCCTAGATCCTGCTAAGATGTCTCATGAAAGCTCATGATTTCTTTATGAAATGATTTTCCGTGGGATCCCTGGGTGGCGCAGCGGTTTGGCTCCTGCCTTTGGCCCAGGGCGCGATCCTGGAGACCCGGGATCGAGTCCCACGTCAGGCTCCCGGTGCATGGAGCCTGCTTCTCTCTCTGCCTATGTCTCTGGCTCTCTCTCTCTCTCTCTCTGTGACTATCATAAATAAGTAAAAATTTAAAAAAAAGAAATGTTTTTCTAGTCACACCCTTGGTGTCCTCTCCAGAGCAAGCAGTCTTGTTTTTGTAACATAGATAGAAGCTAAGAATTTTCCAAATCTTTAGCTTCTGGATCCTTTTGCTTGGCAATTCCTCTTTCCATTTATCTTGCTTCTGGGGCACCGGGGTGTCTCAGTGGTGAGTGTCCACCTTTGGCTCAGGTTGTGATCCCAGGGTCCTGGGATCAAGTCCCACATGGGGCTCCCTGCGGGCAACATGCTTCTCCCTCTGCCTATGTCTCTGCCTCTCTCTCTGTGTCTCTCTCATGAATAAATAAATAAAATATTTAAAATAAAAATAAATAAAATAAAATAAAATAAAATATTTAAAATAAAATTTATCTCATTCCTCTCCTTGTTACTACAAGCAGCAAGGAGAAACCAAGTCATATCTTTAACACTGTGCTTAGAAATCTCCTCAGCTAAATATCCTATTTCATTGCAAACAAGTTCTACTTTCCACAAAACACTAGAACACAATTCCGCCAACTTCTATCACTTTACAATAAGGATTAGCTTTCCTCCAGTTTCCAGTTGAGACCTCACCAGAATCACCTTTTTTTTTTAAGATTTTAAAGTTTATTTATTCGAGAGAGTGAATGAGCAAGAGAGCACAAGTAGGGGGAGGAGCAGAGGGAGAGGGAAAAGCAGACTCCACTGCTAAGCAGAGAGACTGATGCGGGACTCCATCCGAGGACCCCAAGATCATGACCTGAGCCAAAGGCAAATGCTTTACTGACTGAGCCACCCAGGCACCCCCAGAGTCACCTTTCACATTCATAATCCTAACAACAATTTCTTCAAGGTAATCTAGGCTTTTTTTAGCATGTACCTCAAAATTCTTCCAGACACTATCTCATTACTTGGTTCCAAAGGCACTTTCACATTTTGGGGTATCTGTTATAACAGCAGCTGATTTCTTGGTACCAAAATTTGTCAGGATTCTCCAGAGAAACAGAACCAATATGATGTGTGTATGTAGAGAAAGATTTTTGTTTTAAGGAATTTGCTCAGTGGTTGAGCATCTGCCTTTGGCTCAAGAGTGATCCCAGGGTCTGGGATCAAGTCCTGCATCGGCTCCCTTGCAAGGAGCCTGCTTCTCCCTCTGCCTATGTCTCTGCCTCTCTATCTGTGTGTCTCTCATGAATAAATTAATAAAATCTTTCTTAAAAAATAATTTGCTTACAGAATTCTAGAAGCTAGCAAGTCTAAGCAGGACTTGGACATGCAAATCTTAGAGTATGCAGCTCTTGATCTTAGGGTTGAAAAGTTCAAGCCCAGTGCTGGGTATAGAGATTACTTAAAAATAAAATCTTAAAAAAATCCATCACATATGCCTTCAATATTACAGAGTATGGACTGTGAGCATCACTATGAGCATATATTGGGTAGTAATTTTTTTTAAAATTTTTTTATATTTATTTATGATAGTCACACACACAGAGAGAGGCAGAGACATAGGCAGAGGGAGAAGCAGGCTCCATACACTAGGAGCCCGACGTGGGATTCGATCCCGGGTCTCCAGGATCGCGCCCTGGGCCAAAGGCAGGCACTAAACCGCTGCGCCACCCAGGGTTCCCTATTGGGTAGTAAATTGACTGATTAAATGAACAAATTTATTTGCCAGACCTTTGGAATATATTAGGCTGTCTTTCTTTCTTTCTTTCTTTCTTTCTTTCTTTCTTTCTTTCTTTCTTTTTTCATTATCTTATTTCTCCCAGTAATTCCATGAGTTGAGTGTTATGGCCTCCAACTAAAATACTGAAGTTGAGACTTCCAATCCTCTGCTTAGTCAATTACACTAAACTATAATTATTCTCTCTCTCCTACCTATTCTTCCTACAATTGATAAGAGGAAGTAGATAACATAATAATGCCAAGACTCTGCTGGGTGTTAAGAACGGTGTATGATGATTGAGGAGGATATTTATGCCCCACCCTAGGTAGCTGTAATCAGGAAGGGGAGGTGTTAGAGAAGGAGCTTCAGTTTTAGTGGTAGATGATCATTTCAGGGAAGCACGAAGATGCTCTGCAAGGAAAGAGTGTCACTTGCTTCTCTGATCCTGAAAGACCAGTTAAGAGAACACTACAGATTGTCTATAAATATAAACCCCAATATTTCTTTTCTGTGTTACTTATTTTTCAGAATTAGGTTGGCATATGGGGGTGGGGAGAGCATGGGGCTACTTGTGGGCAGCTATTGTATAAGGTAGTGGTTGGTAGTTTTTAGTTTGAATTGTGACATAGATACTCACTTCCTCCTCTCAGTAACCTGGTTCTTCCTTTTTCTTCAGATCTTCCTTTGTCAACTATAATGATCTACTTATCTATGTAGATATCATATTGAGAATATTCTATCAATATTATTGATTATTAACAATAAGTATAATATACATGAAGTTATGGCATGATAAAATCAATTTAATCACTGCCAGGTATTAAAAAATACTTGATTAAAAAAATAGGGGCACCTGGGTAGCTCAGTGGTTGAGCATCTGCCTTTGGCTTGGGTCATGGTTCTGGGGTCCTGGAATCAGGTCCCACATCGGGCTCCCCGCAGGAAGCCTTCTTCTTCCTCTCCTTGTGTTTCTGCCTCTCTCTGTGTCTCCCTTGAATAAATAAATAAAATCTTAAAAAAAAGCATGAAGTTTTTAAGGAAATGAGTACCAAATAAAAGCATACATTCAAAGTTTAAAGGTATGGTGTTCACTTGTCTTTTCATGGAACATTTTTATCGATTGATTAATTGTTCAATAGAAATTAATCATTTGAGGAGCACCTGGGTGGCTGGTCAGTTGAGCCCCCACGTCTTGGTTTCAGCTCAGGTCATGATCTCAGGATGGTAAGATCTAGCCCCATGGGACACCTGGGTGGCTCAGTGATTGAGTGCCTTTGGCTCAGGGCGTGTTCCCAGAGTCTGGGGATCGAGTCCCACATCGGGCTTCCTGCATGGAGTCTGCTTCTCCCTCTGCCTGTGTCTCTGCCTCTGTGTGTGTGTGTGTCTTTCATGAATAAATAAATAAAATCTTAAAAAAAAGACTCTTTTCTCCTTCTGCCCTTCCCCCACTCCACTGCGCTTTCTCTAAAATAAATAAATAAATGTGTGGGGCTTTTTAATCTTGGGAAAAAAGAAGTTAATAATTTGATTTTATTAAAGAGGTAACAAGTAACAAGCCTACTTGACTGATTAGGCAGGGCTTACAAGGCAAGTTATGCTAGTGAAACTGAAAAGAGATAGATTATAAAATTTTAATTGGCATTCTGGTTTACCAATAAGAGTGGAGAGTTAAGTCCAGTTAATACATTCTCTCCCATGGAGAACTGCCTCCAGAAAAAACTATTTAATTTCCCCAAAATACTTATCAAATGTCCATACCAAATATTGAGAGGGTGATGGAAATGATGTTGGAAGGATGCCTGGGTGGCTCAGCAGTTGAGCATCTGCCTTTGGCTCAGGACATGATCCCGGGGTCCTGGGATTGAGTCCCACATCGGGCGCCCTGTGTGGAGGCTGCTTCTCCCTCTGCCTATGTCTCTGGCTATCTCTCTCTCTCTCTCTCTCATGAATAAATAAATAAATAAATAAATAAATAAATAAATAAATAAATAAATAAATAAATAATCTTTTAAAAAAAAAAGGAAATGGTGTTGGAGAAAGAGACAAAAATGAAATGAGCACAGAGAGAGAGGCAGAGGGAGGAGCAGGCTCCATTCAGAAAGCCCTGTGCAGGACTGGATTCCGGGACACCAGGATCATGCCCTGAGTCAAAGGCAGACACTCAACCACTGAGCCACCCAGGAGTCCCTCTTTCATGTCTTTTCATAGCTCAATAGCTCATTTCTTTTTAGCAGTGAATAATATTCCATTGTTTGAATGTACCACAGTTAGTTTATACATTCCCTCATTCAAGGATATCTTGGTTACTTCCAAGTTTTGGCAATTATGAATAAACCTGTAAACATCTGTATGCAAGTTTTTGTGTAGACATAAAATTCCAACTCCTTTGAGCAAATACCAAGGTAGCAGGATTGCTGGATTGTATGGCAAGTAAATGTAGAGTTTTGTAAGAAACCACCAAACTGTCTTCCAAAGTGTCTACTATTTTGCAATCCCACTAGCAATGTATGAGATTTCTTGTTGCATCACATCCTCATCAGCATTTGGTATTGTCAGGTTCCAGATTTTGGCCATTCTAATAGGTATGAACTGTATCCTGTTGGGTTTTGGGTTTGTTGTTTTTTTTTAAGATTTTGAGAGAGAGTACACACGCAGGGGGGACAAGCAGAATGAGATGGAGAGGCTGACTCCCTTCTGAGCAGGGAGTCCAATGTGGGGCTTGATCCTAGGACCCCATGATCATGATCTGAACTGAAGGCAGAGACTTAACAAACTGAACCACCCAGGTGCCCCTCATCGTTGTTTTTTTTTTTTTTTAATTTTTATTTATTTATGATAGTCACAAAGAGAGAGAGAGAGAGGCAGAGACACAGGCAGAGGGAGAAGCAGGCTCCATACACTGGGAGCCCGACGTGGGATTCGATCCCAGGTCTCCAGGATCACGCCCTGGCCAAAGGCTGGTGCTAAACCGCTGCGCCACCCAGGGATCCCCCTCATCCATCGTTGTTGTTTTAATTTGCATCTCTCTTATGACATATAATGTGGAGTACCTTTTCATATGCTTATTTGCCATCTGTATATCTCCTTTGGGCCAATGTTTCTGCTGAGGCCCTTGGCCTATTTTTTAATCAGGGTGGTATTTTATTGTTGAATTTTAACTCTTTCTTTGTATATTTTGGATAATAGTCCTTTATCAGATGTGTCCTTTCCAAATGTTTTCTTCCAGTCTGTGGTTGTCCTCTTATTCTCTTGAAAGTGTCTTTTGCAGAGCAGAAGTTTTAATTTTAATAAAGTCCAACTGACCAAAGATCGTTTTCATGGATTGTGCATTTGGTGTTCTACCTAAAAAGTCATTACCATACTCAGGATCATCTAGTTTTTCAATGTTAACTTCTAGGAGTTTATTAGCTTCGTGTTTTACATTTAGATCTGTGATCCATTTTGAGTTAATTTTTGTGAAAAGTGTAAGGTCTTTTATTGGATTCTTTACCTTTTTTCTTTTCTTTCCTTTTTTTTTTCCTGCATGTGCACATCTTGTTGTTCCAGCACCATTTGTTGAGAAGGAGACTATCCCCACTCCACTGTGTTGCCTTTGTTTCTTTGAGGAAAAAAAATCAGCTGTATTCATGTGGGTCTTTCTGGGCTCTCTATTCTGTTCCATTGATCTATTTGTCTGTTGTTTTCACCAGTACCACAATGTCTTAATTACTGAGTCTTTATAGTAAATCTCAAAGTCAGGTAGGTAATATCAGTTTTACAACTTTGTTGTTCTTCAATATTGTATTGGCTATTCTGGGTCTTATGCTGCTTCATATAAATGTTTGTATCAGTTTTGTATATCCACAAAGTAACTTACTGGGATTGATTGGGATTACATTGAATCAATAGTTCAAGTTGGGAATAATGACATCTTGACAATATTGGGTCTTCTTTTTTAAGATTTTATTTATTGATTGATAGATTTTATTTATTTATTCATGAGAGACACACACAGAGAGAGGCAGAGATATAGGGAGAGAGAGAAGCAGGCTCCATGCAGGGATCCCCATGTGGGACTAGATCCTAGGACTCCAGGATCATACCCTGAGCCAAAGGCAGATGCCTAACCACTGAGTCACCCAGGCATCCCAATATTGAGTCTTCTTATGCATAAGCATGTACTACCTCTCCATTTATTTAGTTCTTCTGATTTCATTCGTCAGAGTTTGGAGTTTTCCTGATGTAGCTCTTGTACACTTTTTTTTTTTTTTTTTTTTCTTATGATAGTCACACAGAGAGAGAGAGAGAGAGAGAGCAGAGACATAGGCAGAGGGAGAAGCAGGCTCCATGCACCGGGAGCCCGACGTGGGATTCGATCCCGGGTCTCCAGGATCGCGCCCTGGGCCAAAGGCAGGCGCTAACCGCTGCGCCACCCAGGGATCCCTGTTACATTTTATATCTAAACATTTCCTTTTTGGGATATTAATATAAGTGGTATTGTGTTTTTAATTTCAAGTTGTACCCTTTTTTGCTGGTATATAGAACTGTGATTGACTTTTATATATTAACCTTTTATCTTGCAATCTGGTTATAATAATTTATTGGTTACAGGAATTTTTTGTCAGTTCTTTTGGATTTTTTTTTACGATTTTATTTATTCATTCATGAAAGACACACACACACAGAGAGAGAGGCAGAGACATAGGTAGAGAGAGAAGCATGCTCCCTGCATGAGCCCAATGTGGGACTTGATCCCAGGACTCCAGGATCATGACCTGGGCTGAAGACAGGCACTCAACTGCTGAGCCACCTGGGCGTCCCTGGATTTTATTCTTATAGACAATCCAGTCATGTTCAAACAGTTTTATTTCTTCCTTCCTAATTTGTATGCCTTTTATTTCATTCTCTTGTCTTATTACATTAGCTAGTACTTCTAGCTAATGTTGAAAAGGCATAGTGAGAGGGAACATTTCTACCTTGCTCCTGATCTTAGTGGTAAAGCTTTAGATTTTTCACCATTTCAGTATGTTGTTAGTTGTAGGTTTTTTCTTTATCAAGGAAGTTCCCCAGTATTCCTAGTTTACTGAGAGTTTGGGGTTTTTTAAATAAATTATTCATTCTTAGAGAGAGATAGAGGGACAATCTCAAGCAGACTCCTTGTGGAGCATGGAGCCTGATGTGGGGCTTGATCCCAGGATCCTGAGGTCATGACCTGAGCTGAAATCAAGAATTGTACGCTTAACCAACTGAGCCACTCAGGCACCCCTTACTGAGAGTTTCTAATCATGAAAAAGAGTTGGATTTTATCAAATTTTTCTGCATATATTGACATAACCATGTGAGTTTTCTTTTTAACCTTTGGATATGATAGATTACATTAATTGGTTTTCAAATATCGAACAGGCCTTCCATACCTGCAGTAAATCCCATTTGGTCATGATGTATAATTCTTTTTATTTATTATTGTATATTATATTTGCTGTTATATTCTTAAGGACTTTTGTATTCATTAGAGATACTGGTCTGTAGTTGTCTTGTAATGTCTTTGGTTTTGGTATTAGGGTAGTGTTATAGAGTGAGTTAAGAGAGAATTAGTTATCTTAATGGTGGATAATATCGAATTTTAACCATCAAACTAGTATTTCTGTTTAAGAATTACAGACCACTGCAGTGCCTTGGTGGCTCAGTCAGTTGAGTGTCTGACTCTTGGTTTCCACTTGGGTAGTAATCTTAGGGTGATGAGGTTGAGCCTGCTAGTGGGCTCTACACTCAGCGTGGAGTCTGCTTGTCCCTCTCCCTGCCCTTCTGCCCTTCCCCCTACTCGTGCACTCTCTCTCTCTCTTTCTCTCTCTCTCCTCTCTAGGCTGGATGAATAAAATATTTGAAAAAAGAAGAGGGCGAAAAAAAGAAATACAGACTAATGGGGTGCCTGGGTGGCTCAGTCAATTAAGCATCTGACTCTTGATATCAGCTCAGGTCTTGACCTCAGGATTGTGAGTTCAAGCCCCACACTGGACTCCATGCTTGGCATGGAGTCTACTTAAAAATATAAAAGATACAGGCCACTATTCTTTTGTTTGTTAACACATTCTATTTAGAGTGGCACCTGGGTGGCTCAGTAAGTTAAGTGTCAGACTCTTGATTTCAACTTGGGTCATGATCCTGAGATTGTGAGATTGAACCCTACATTAGGTTCCACACTAGGCAGAAAGCCTACTTAAGATTCTCTCTCTCCCTCTCTCACTGCACCTCTCCATCTGCCTTTGGCTCAGGGCATGATCCTGGAGTTCCAGGATCGAGTCCCACATCAGGCTCCCGGCACAGAGCCTGCTTCTTTCTCCCTCTGCCTGTGTCTCTGCCTCTTCTCTCTGCATGTTTCTCATGAATAAATAAAATATTTTTTTAAAAAAAATGAATCCTGAGAAATTACTCTCTGATCACATTCATTTCTTCAGTTCTCTCAATAAACATTTATTTATAACTTACTCTGTATCAGATATTCAGAATATTGAGGCAAATAAGGTGTGGTCACTGTGTTCGGGAAGCTCACAGTGTATTCGGGGGAATAAATTTGTAAACTAGTGGGATGCCTGGTTGGCTCAGCAGTTGAGTGTCTCACTTCAGCTCAGGGTGTGATCCTGGGTCCTGGATCAAGTCCCACATAAGGCTCCCTGCCAGGAGCCTGCTTTCCCCTCTATCTGTGTCTCTGCCTCTCTTTCTGTCTCTCATGAATAAATAATTTTTTTAAAAAAATTGTAAACTAGTAATAGCAAAGTATTTTTAAGTAATATACATAATAATATGGCACAGTAATAGATTTGCCTATGTTAAACACATATAGAAAGTATCTACTTTGAAACTGGCAACAGAGTTAAACATAAAATTAGATGTTTTAACGAATAAGATATTGACCATTTCAAGACGCCTATTTAAATTAGGAGTATAGGGACGCCTGGATGGTTCAGCAGTTGAGCGTCTGCCTTTGGCTCAGGGTGTGATCCCAGAGTCCCAGGATTGAGTCCCACATCAGGCTCCCTGCATGGAGCCTGCTTCTCCCTCTCCCTATGTCTCTGCCTCTCTCTCTCTCTCTCTCTGTATCTCTATGAATCAATCAATTAATTAATTAATTATAAATAAATAAATTGCTTTAAAATTTTGCTAATTAGGTTATAGCTTGTTTAGATACTCAACAGCCCTAAGGATACACTTTGAACATGTTTTATTCAGCTAATTTAACAAAGTTTTTTGTTCACCTATTTGTTGGGCACTGTGAGTATAAAGATAGATAAAATAGGGATCCCTGGGTGGTGCAGCAGTTTGGCGCCTGCCTTTGGCCCAGGGCACAATCCTGGAGACCCGGGATCGAATCCTACATCGGGGCTCCCGGTGCATGGAGCCTGCTTCTCCCTCTGCCTGTGTCTCTGCCTCTCTCTCTCTCTCTTTCTTTCTCTCTGTGTGACTATCATAAAAAAAGATAGATAAAATAAAATCTCTGCCCTCAGAGTGCTCACAATTTAGAAAGATAAGCAAATATGTTAAATAATTGCTATAGGATTTAGTAAGTACTATAATACAGGTATGTTTGAGAGAGATTGTGGCTCAATGGAAACCATAGCTTCTTAGGTTTGTCTGGGAATGTTCCACAAAGGGGAAGAGATACTGGTTATTGTATGTATGACTAGAAGTTAGCCAGTTGGGAAGGGTATTCAAGATGAAAGAGTACAAAAGAGTGAGTCTTTAATAACATGGTGTTATGGGCTGACCTGTGTTCCCCCAAAATTCCTATAGAAGCATAACCCCTAGTTCCTCAGAATGTGATTATATTAGGAGGCAGGGCCTTTAAAGAAGTGATTAAATTAAAATGAGGCCTTTAGGTGGGCCCTAATTCAATCCTACTGATGTCCTTATAAGAACAGGAAATGTAGGGCAGCTCAGGTGACTCAGCAGTTTAGCGCCACCTTCAGCCCAGGGTGTGATCCTGGAGGCCCAGGATCAAGTCCCATGTCGGGCACCCTGCATGAAGCCTGCTTCTCCCTCTGCCTGTGTCTGTGCCTGTCTCTCTGTGTGTCTCTCATGAATAAATAAATAAAATCTTAAAAAGAAAAAAAAAAAGAACAGGAAATGTAGGGACACCTGAGCGGCTCAGTGGTTGAGCATCGGCCTTCAGCTCAGGGCCTGATCCCAGGGTCCTGGGACTGAGTCCTGCATCATGTTCCCCGCAAGGAGTCTGCTTTTCCCTCTGCCTATGTCTTTGCTTCTGTGTCTCACATGAATAAATAAATAAAATCTTTAAAAAATAACATAAAACAGATAATGTAGACATTCAAGAGACACCACGGATGTATACACACAGAGAAAAAGGCCATCTACAAGTCAAGGAGAAAGTTCTTAGGAGAAACCAAGCCTGCCAACACCTTGGACACCCAGCCTCTAGAATTGTTAAGAAAATAAATTTATGTCTTTTATGCTATCAAGTCTGTGGTGTACTGTTATGGTACCCTTCGATGTGCGTTTTTTTCACACCACCAAGAAATTCTTCAATTCTCAGCTGATGGTAATGGAATGCCTTCCCCTTTCAACTCAATTCTGTCTACCCTGAGATAGCATCAGATGTCACAGGTTAAGGGTCCAGACCCACCGAAACTGCCTCTCTCTTTCCTCCACTTCGGATGCCAGCAGCTACTCCCCTTTATCAACTGCTGTAGATTAGAGGGTTCAACAACCTCCTCCTGGGTTTGATTAACTGGCTAGAGCAGCTGACACAAGTCAAAGAAACATTTACTCACATTTTTTAGTTTATTATAAAGAATATAATAAAGGATACAGATGAAGAGATACATAGGTCTGTTTGAACACTGACAATTGGTTCAGTTTGGTTTAGGCAAAGGAGAAATATACTTAAAGTGTGACTAGTGTGACTCAGGACTTTATTAATTTCACTCCATTTTAATTCATTTACGTTTGTATTTAAAAATTGAAACCAGGGGATCCCTGGTGGTGCAGTGGTTTAGCACCTGCCTTTGGCCCAGGGGGCATCCTGGAGACCCGGGATCGAGTCCCGCATCGGGCTCCCTGCGTGGAGCCTGCTTCTCCCTCTGCCTGTGTCTCTGCCTCTCTCTCTCTCTCTGTGTGTGACTATCATAAATAAATAAATAATTAAAAAAAATCTTTGAAATCAGTCTTCATTAGTATGTTGGTGGCACCCAAACAACTATATTATAATAAAATGCAGTAAGAAGCATAAAAAGAGGGCAGCCTGGGTGGCTCAGCGGTTTAGCACTGCCTTTAGCCCAGGGACTGATCCTGGAGACCCGGGATCGAGTCCCACGTCAGGCTCCCTGCGTGGAGCCTACTTTTCCCTCTGCCTGTGTCTCTGCCTCTGTGTGTGTGTCTCTCATGAATAAATAAAATCTTTTAAAAAAAGAAGAAGCATAAAAGGATCAGCACTGGTCCAGAAATTTCTCTTGAATGTGTTCAGGGACCAGCTGTATCAGGATTGCCCAGTACCAATGGTTCTCAAACCTTAGCTAGAATCCAATCACCCAGATGGCTTTTGGGAACAGATTGCTGGCCTCTGTCCCAGAGTCAGACTTAATGATTTAGTAAATTGGGATGGGGTGGGACAATTTTAATTTCTTGCAGATTTGAAGCTAATGCTGTTAGTTAGTGGACAACTTAAACAAGCTTTCTAGGTGAGTTTTATGCATACAGAGGTATAAAAACCATTGATCTTATCCCAGCCAGAGATGTTCTGATAATAGTAAGAGGAAAAGTTAGACCACAAGAGAAGATCTGTGAACCTGGAGAAGGGTAGAGAGATAAGGAAAGGAGGAAAGAGATCAGGCCTATTTTGCTAACTTCTCTTGTCTTCATTTAACCTTTCAGGCGCAATTCAATGCTTATGGTCAACCTCTTGGCTGTCGCTGGTGGCTGCCTTATGGGGTTCTGCAAAATAGCGCAGTCGGTTGAAATGCTGATCCTGGGCCGATTGATTATTGGCCTCTTCTGCGGCCTCTGCACAGGCTTTTTGCCCATGTACATTGGAGAGATCTCTCCCACTGCCCTACGGGGGCCTTCGGCACTCTTAACCAGCTGGGCATCGTCATCGGGATCCTGGTAGCTCAGGTACTCTAGAACTCATGCTTTGAGTTTCAGTCATGGCTCATTAAATGAGGTGACATAGATAAGCTCAGGAATATCTGCATCTATTCAACTATATGGAAGTTGCAGGTACTTTTCTTATTGCAGCTCACAGACAGCTAAAGAAGCAGGAAGGGTAGAGAAAGAAACTTTGTTCCTGCTGTAAAAAAAATGGATGATTTGCTGAAATGTGTTTTTTCTGACTTTTTTTTTAACCAACTTGTGGCTTATATAAAGAATGAGCTTTACAGTATCATATTGATCTGGTTTCTAGATCTTCAGTCTGAAAGTCATCATGGGAACTGAAGAGCTTTGGCCCCTGCTCGTGGGCTTCACCATCATTCCAGCTGTCCTGCAAAGCACCGCCCTTCCATTTTGCCCCGAGAGCCCTAGATTTTTGCTCATTAACAGAAAGGAAGAGGAGAATGCTAAGGAGAGTGAGTATCCTTCACACTTTGACTGTAGGGATTTTAGGGTTGTGGTTTAGGGCATTGGATCTGTTTGGTCCTCTCCTTTCCTTGCCCCCTCAGAACCCAAATGGAGACTTCCCTGATTGCTCTCGAGTCAGAAACTTTCAACCCCTAAAGAGTGACGTGAGAAGCAGGTTAAGGCACAGATGCTAATTGATGAGCCATATCCAGAGCTCATCTCTGTGGCTTTTGTCCAGCTGTATTAGAGGGGAAATGAAGATGGAATAGCACCTAATCTTTATCTTTTGTTTGACCAGTCCTCCAACGATTGTGGGGCACCCAGGATGTGAGTCAGGACATCCAGGAGATGAAAGATGAGAGTGCTAGGATGGCACAAGAAAAGCAAGTCACTGTGCTGGAGCTCTTCAGATCGCGCAGCTACCGACAACCCATTATCATTTCCATCATGCTCCAGCTCTCCCAGCAGCTCTCTGGAATCAATGCTGTGAGTAGCTACTCTGTGGCCAGCGGGGGGTTGCCCACTGCACTTAACTCACTAGAGGGGGGCTGAGCACAGGCAGTTGCTCACTTTGTTCCATCTACAGAGCCAGAGTCCCCCAGTGATGCTTGCCACACAGCAGCCACTCCAAAAATGTTGATTATCCAATTTTAACTTAGTTTTTTTTTTATAAGATTTATTTTAGGGGCACCTGGGTGGCTCAGTCAGTTAATGATCTGCCTTCAGCTCAGGTCATGATCTCAGGGTCCTGGGATCGAGCCCCAAATCGGGTGCCCTGCTGAGCAGGGAGCCTGTTTCTCCATCTCCCTCTGCCTGCCTTTCACCCTGCTCATGTTCTCTCTCTCTAATAAATAAAATCGTAAAAAAGAAAAAGATTTATTTATTTTAGAGAGAGGGGCAGAGGGATAATGAACCTTTAGCAGAACCTGCATTAAGTGCAGAGTGCGACATGGGGCTCAATCTCACAACCCTGAGATTACCACCTGCGCCAAAACCAAGAGTAGGACACTTAACCAACTGCACCATCCAAATACCCCTGTTTTTATTTATTTACCATTTTTTAAGTTTATTTAAGTCATCCCTGCACCCACTGTGGGGCTCAAACTCAGAACCCCAAGATCAAGAGCCAGCCAGGTGCCCCTGTTTTTATTTAAGATTCTATCTGCAGTATGTGTTTTCCATGTGGAAAAAAATTAAGAAAATAAATAATAAACGAAAAATTCATCACCTTTAGTCTCAGAACTTCTAAACATTTGTCCTTTCAAACTTTTTTCAGTATATAGGACATTACAAATGTGGGACTCGATCCCAGAACTTCAGGATTATGCCCTGAGCCGAAGGGAGACCCAACCACTGAGCCACTCAGACGTCCAGAGTCTTATTTTAGAAAATACAAATATACATAGTTTCTATCCGAGGTTATATGTATTTGAAGAGTTGTTTCCTGAGAAGGTAAATCCCAGCGTAGACACATAAAAAGTCTGACAAATACAGCTATAGAGGCAAAAACACAGGATGAAATAATAAATTCCTGGCCCAAACCTTAGGGACTGAACCTAGATGATCTAGATCCTGTTCCCTTGTTACTTTGAGGTTTGAGTCCAATATTTTGACATCTGTTTAACTATGGTAGCTATAGCAACTTTACATTTCAGCACACCGACCAGTAAATAATTAAAAATAATATATACTAAAGAGTAGTTTATTTAATAGTATATGTTAAAAGGATAGCTGGTATCATTTGCTAGAACACTTGGAAGGGACCTAGAGCTAGGGATTCCAGCCCAAGTTCGGTTTCTGATTACATGAGCAGGCTGAGATTATTTCTCAATTTCTTCACTGTCAAATTAACATATTGGTGTGGTCTTATCACTGTTTTAGGGGTTAGGGGAATTGTCCGTTGAGGAAGTATAATTGAGGAACTTGCTGCTGGTTGGCTTTGTTGGAAGAGCACATAACTCTTGATCGCAGGGTATGAGTCTGAGCCCCACATTGGGGGTAGAGATTACTAAAAACAAACCCAAAACTTTAAAATGAACCGAAAAAAGCTTAATTGAAAAAATTAATGGGACTAAAACCTTTGTATCTAAGTTAATAAAATAGAGGTAAGGAAGAGACTTCATGAGCAGAAGGAATGAGCATAGAAGAAAAAATGGAAATGAGTAGCTAGAATTGAAAAGAACTAAAAACAAAGATACAGAAGATAATTTATTTGCAGAAAAGATCCTGTAATTGAACCAAAAAAACCGGAAAGGACTCCTTAACCTCCTGACACTTTTTTCTTTTTTTCCCTCTCTTTTTTTTTTTAAGATTTTATTTATTCATGAGGGACAGAGAGAGAAAGAAAGGCAGAGACACAGGCAGAGGGAGAAGCAGGCTCCCTGCAGGAAGCTTGATGTGGGACTCGATCCTGGCACTCCCGGATCACACCCTGGGCCAAAGCAGATGCGCAACTGCTGAGTCACCCTGGCATCCCAAGTTTATTTTTCTAAGGGTTCTCTATTAACTGTTATGCACAACTGCGGTTTCAAAGTTGTCTTTTGTTTCCTATTAGGTGTTCTATTACTCAACAGGAATCTTCAAAGATGCAGGTGTTGAGGAGCCAATCTATGCCACCATTGGTGCAGGGGTGGTCAATACTATCTTCACTGTTGTCTCTGTAAGTTGGATGGTGTGATAGTTTGGGGTGGGGGAGGGCCATTCTAACTGTGCCATGTTCAAGGATGGGATTCAAGTCCTGCCATTTCCTACTATCATTTAAACCTTTGTGTTGTTTCATTTTGGGGGGAAGAAGAGCTAGTGAATGATGCGTATAAGGAGTCTTCACTCTAAGCAAATATAAAAGGGATGAGAAAGAGGGAGGTATAAAAAGGATCCTGTAGGATGCTTTTAACTCGGAACTAAAAGGGGAAGTGTGATTTTAATAAGTATCCTGCTACTGGTAAGGCAGACTCAGGTAGATCAAACAGTGTTTTCATGAAAGGGAAAGCTGAAATTTTATGTTCTATTCTTCTTCCTTTAGCTGTTTCTGGTGGAAAGGGCAGGGAGGAGAACTCTACATATGATTGGCCTTGGAGGGATGGCTGTTTGTTCCATCCTTATGACCATCTCGTTGTTATTAAAGGTGAGTGCTCTTTGAGTGAAGGGAAGGGAGGGATTACAGGTGAATCTGTGACACAGGTGGGAAGATGAGGGTGGAGATCCATAAAGTCACATGCCCAGAGTTTTAAGAAAAGTGAATCAGCAGAGATGGGTAATTAAACTGCCGGAATTCTTCTATCTAAATGACATATAGTTTGCAAAATACCTTATGTAATTTAATTCTTCAAGTCATCTCAAGGTAATTATTCCCATTTTATGAGTGATGAAATGATTTTTGTGCCAATTGATACAGATGGAACACAAGGCTAGGATTCAAAAACCCAGGGCTTTTGACTCTTAAGTCCAATTAACTCCATTGTAACCCAGGACAGAAGGGAGCTTTTCATTGTCAAGTCTTATCCTCTGGGAGGCTAGATCCTCTCCAGGCCGAGCTGTCTTTACTACTCACTCTCCTTTGTTCCTTCCTCATTTAGGATAACTATAATTGGATGAGTGTTGGACCCTGGCTCACGGGTGCCAACGTGTCCCGGTGGACGCCCCAGAGACTCAGACCCCAGACAGGCAGATGCAATCAGCAAGAGGGTTTATTGAGCATTTGCGCAAACGGGCTCTCCGCCTCCGAGGAGGAAAAGAGCCCCGATTAGCAATTACAGGGATCTTTTAAAGGCAAAAGGAAAGAAACCGCCTAAAGACAAAAGAACCGCGGAGTCGCATAGCATCCAGGTTGATTTCACAGAGGGTCAACAAGAACCTATTCAGGGACATTCCAATCAGGGTGTGGGGGAAATGGTTTTCTTACTGTGAACAGAATGCTTTTAGTTGCTACAATTTCAGGAAGGCGCCTGGATGGGCTGCCTCTGGGTTAGGGCTGGCCCTACTTACAAGGGGGAGGTTTCTTCATTCCCTCCTCTTGTTTGGGCTGATTTTAACCTTAAAATCTTAGGGGAACATTTATTTCTTCAGTTTGGAGGGGCCGACATTGCTGAGTTAATACCAGAGCTTGGGTAATAGATAATCTGTCTCGGATGAACTGGAGCAGCCGTTTGAGGACGCAGAGGCCGACAGTTAGCAGCAGGAGCAGGATAACTAGAGGGCCCACAATGGTAGAGATTAGGGTGGTCAACCAGGGAGACTGATTAAACCAGCTTTCAAACCAGCCCTGCTGGGCCTCCCGGTCCCTTTGTCTTTTATTTAACCTTTCCCTGAGTTTGGCCATGGAGTCTCTGATGACTCCAGAATGGTCTGCATAGAAACAGCATTCCTCTCCCAGGGCCGCACACAGTCCTCCCTCTTTCAGGACTAGTCAATCCAAGCCTCTCCTGTTTTGAAGTGCTACTTCTGAAAGTGAGGGGAGGGACTGCTCTAACTTAGAAACGGACTGCGCTAGTGTCCCTAGATCCTCATCTACAGCTGTTTGGAGTTCTATATAACGTCGTGAGCCCCGGATCGGAGCAGCTGCGCCAGGACCCACCCCAGTAGCGACCCCTAGTCCCAACATATCGGCTAAGGTTAGGGAGACAGGTTCGCGCCGAAAACGGGTGGGATGTTTATCATACTGATTTTCTAGAGTTTCAGCAGGGTGATAGAACACCCTGGGTATGATCTGCACCATGACACAGAAGTCGTTTGAGCTATTTAGAACCTTAGCCGACACACAGGGGGTGAGGCCTTTGTTGCATGCCCACCAAGTTCCCGGCTGGGGCTCCAGGTAAGAATCAGTCCCCAAAATCGGGGTGGTAGTGTTGCAGAGTCTCTGGTAGCCCCGGGGGTGTTCCTATGCAGGTTCCCTGTCCTGAAACTTCTGAAAGGGTGAGTTGTGGTTGGGAGTCGGGTGTGCATCCCTGAGTGCTAGTGATGTTATTATAGGTCCCTGAAGTAGCAATTCCCTCATAATAAGGGGGGAGGGGATGCAAGGCAGAGCCAGCAGGATTTAGTTACATCGGGGCTGGTTCGATTAAGGGCCAGGAATGCCCCTATGATAAGATTAAACAGTCGTTGTCCCGGCTCTCGGGTGACGGGTGACGACCGAGGGGTTGGAGTGACCGCGAAGTTAGTGGGTGTGGCACTCCGGCTAGGGCCGGGGCTGTTAGTTTAGCAGGAGCTCTTTGTTCCCCGAGGACCGCGGTAGGCCCGAGGACCGCGGTAGGCCCGAGGCCCGGTAGGCCCGATCGCCACGGGGTCTGGGGATTCTATTTTTAGTTTAATTCTGAATATAAAACCATCATCTGTTCTTTCTTTGTATAACCTGAGTCCCCACGTATATCCATTGGCCCAGTGAGTAGCCCTTTTTCCCGGGCTCCGTGAAGGATATCCGTAGGGGATGACACCACCCTTGGCAGGGCCCATAATAAAGGGTTTTCCATTTGCTAAATGTCGGGTGAGTATAGTTAGCCTTGACAATGATATAATCCCAGGAGGAGGAGGGCCTCCATTCTGTATCCCCCGTAGTTTCGCACCCCCAATTTTTACAATAGAAGTATTCCCCTCCTCCACAGGTGGGATTTAGCCTGCGATCTCTGTGGTGCCCAGGACAGACATAAAAGGGAAGAGTGCTTAGCATGGCCCTTCTGTCAGGCGTGCCACATCCTCCCCATGGGTCTAATCCCAGTCGCCCTGGAGGGCTTTCTTGGTTAGGGGCTCTAGAGGTGTCGAAGTATCCCTCTAGGTCCCATGGGCTAGGGGCCCCTATGGTTAGCTTGCATAGGTCAGGATATAGGTCAGGCCACCAGGTTCCCACGGGGCGGTCTTAGTTATAGACCAGACCTCGTCACCCCCAGACGTTAGTACCTGCCAGGTTAACCTTTTGAGGGCATGAGGGTCACCTTGGCGGAGGTGAAGAGCGCTAGGAGAGGTAGGAATATAACAACTGTCATTGAACAATTTTTGAAAGTCTTATCTTGAGCGGGTTTTGGGTGCGGTGGAGCTTCCATTGGAGTGGCTCGTCCGGTCCGTCCTGGCTGGCGTCAGCGGTGCTCGTTGATGGGGCGCGCTTGACGTGTGAGGCGTGGACCCAAGCAGCAATGCCGTCTACCTTTAAGGCGGTTGGGGTGGTCAGTAGTACAGTATATGGGCCCTTCCAGCGGGGCTCAAGCGTCCTGGACTGATGTCTCCTGACGTAGACGGAGTCACCGATCTGGAACGGGTGTGGGCCGGTTGTGTCTCCGGGCGGTAGACAGCCGCAAGGGGTTTCCAGATCTGGTGCTGGATAATCTGGAGCACCTTTAGCCTGTCCTGTAAACCGGGAGTGTTAGCAAGAGGGTCAATAGCAGAATCTAGTAAGTCCGTTACTGGTGGGGGACCTCCATAGAGAATCTCTCGTAAGGAGTTAGCCCATGGCGCGCGGGAGTGTTCCGGACTCGGAACAGAACCATAGGGAGGAGTTGGACCCAGTCTCTAGTGCCAGTCTCCAATGTCAATTTAGTTAGGGTCTCTTTAATTGTTCTATTCATTCTTTCTACCTGACCTGAGCTCTGGGGTCTGTATGCACAATGTAATTTCCAATTTATCCCCAGTAATCTGGCCACCAACTGACTTACCTGGGAGACGAAGGTGGGGCCGTTGTCCGACCCTATTACCTTGGGCAGTCCAAACCGGGGAAAATTTCTTCCAGGATTTTCTTGACAACCACCTGGGCGGTTTCTCGCTTGGTGGGGAATGCTTCTGTCCAGCCTGAAAAGGTATCTATAAACACTAGGAGGTACTTGTTACCATATTTACCTGGCTTGATTTCGGTGAAGTCTACTTCCCAATTAGTTCCGGGTCTTTCTCCCCTCATCCTGGTTCCCTCAGGCATCTTGAGGTGTTTGGTATTTACCTTAGCACAAGGTACACAAGCGTCGGTTACCTGTTGGATCAGGGAGGGGAGTTTGGGAATGTAATAGGTCTGACCTCTCTCTCCGGAGGAGTGCTTTTAATTTTTTTGTGTCCGAGGTGAGTCCATCGGTGGAGGTGAGTCACCAGTTCTTTGGCCCTTTTCTGGGGCAGGACCGTCTTCCCTTGGTGTTTCCAGACCTTCATTTGCTCGTCATATTTTGCCCCTATTTGCTGGACGATATCTAGGTCGCTGTCTGAGTACTCGAGAGAGAGTTGCCCCGGTGTCCGGACAGCCTCTGGTACTTGTAGGGAGAGGGCCTGTGGGCCTAGTGCAGCGGCCCGTGCTGTTTCATCGGCCATCCTGTTCCCCTCTGCTACTGGGTCATTGCCTCGCTGATGCCCAGGACAGTGAATTATACTCAGTTTTCTCGGCAGAAGGAGGGAATGGAGAAGATCTTGTATTTCTTCTCTGTTTTTGATGTTTTTACCTGCTGAGGTTAGGAGACCCCTTCTACGGTATATTTCTCCATGAACATGGGCAGTTGCAAAAGCATATCTGCTGTCAGTATAAATGTTGACCTTTTTGTCCTTAGCCTTCTTAGGGCCTGAGTTAGGGCTATAAGCTCTGCCCTTTGAGCTGAAGTCCCAGGCTCTAAGGCACTGGCCCAAATGACAGCTTTCCCATCTGCCACGGCTGCCCCGGCTTTACGCCCCGGCTTTACGCTCACCATTTCGTAGAAAGCTACTCCCATCGGTGTACCAGGTTGCTTCAGCATCTGGCAAAGGCTGGTCCGTCAAGTCCCCTCTGGTGCCATGGACTTCAGCTAGGATCTGGTGGCAATCATGCATTACTAGGGAGGGGGACTCGGTTTCTGGAAGCAAGGTGGCCGGGTTTAGAGATGTAGCCGTTCCAAACCGTATCCGCTCAGAATTCAGTAACATGGCCTGATAATGGGTGACCCGGGCGTTTGAGAGCCATCGATCAGGGGGCTGGCGGATGACTGTCTCTACGGCGTGGGGGCCACCACAGTGAGGGGTTGGCCAAAAGTCAACTTGTCTGAGTCTTTTACCAGGACTGCCATAGCCGCTATTATTCGGAGACATGGGGGCCATCCTGCAGCCACGCTGTCTAATTTTTTTTTGAAAAGTATGCCACGGGCCTTTTCCAGGGTCCCAGTTTTTGAGTTAGGACCCCTTTGGCTATTCCATTATGCTCATCAACATATAGCGTAAAAGGCTTGGTTACATCTGGGAGGCTCAGGGCAGGGGCGGTCAATAAGGCCCTTTTTATTTTGTCAAAAGCCAATTGTTGCTCCTTTCCCCAGTGGTAGGGGGTGTTGGATTTCGTGAGAGGATATAGGGGAGCCGCCATCTCCGCAAACCCGGGTATCCAGAGGCGGCAGAACCCAGCACTGCCGAGGAACTCTCGTAGTCCTTTGGCATTAGTGGGTGCTGGGATCAGGGCTACAGCCTTTTTGCGGCTCTCCGTCAGCCACCTCTGGCCTCCTTCCAGGAGATATCCCGGATAGGTCACTTGTCTCTGGCCTATTTGGGCCTTTTTGGCGGAGGCCCTATACCCCAGTTCTCCCAGTCTCTCAAGCAGGGCCCCTGTACCTTTTACACAATCCTGTTCTGTCCTAGCCGCCAGGAGCAAATCATCCACGTACTGCAGGAGGACGAGGTCCGGATGGGCAACTCGGAAATCTGCCAAATCCCGATGCAAGGCTTCATCGAACAAAGTGGGGGAGTTTTTGAATCCCTGTGGCAGCCTTGTCCAAGTGAGTAGTCCTGAGAATCCCGTCTCAGGATCTTTCCATTCAAAGGCAAAAATAGGCTGGCTTTGAGAGCTTAACCTTAGGCGAAAGAATGCATCTTTTAGATCTAACACCGTATACCAGACATGGCTTGGGGGTAAGGTGCTGAGCAAGTTGTAGGGATTGGGCACCGTGGGATGTATGTCCTCTGTCCTCCAGTTAACCTCTCGTAAATCTTGTACCGGCCAGTAATCTCCTGTGCCGGTTTTTTTTTTTTTTTTTTTTTTTTTTTTTTTTTACGGGTAATAGAGGAGTATTCCAGGGCGACTGGCAAGGTATTAAAATGCCCAATTGTAATAGTCTGTGTATATGTGGCCGAATGCCTTCTTTGGCCTCTTTGCTCATTGAATATTGCCGGATCGATATGGGGGTGGCCGAGGGTTTTAAGTTTATAATTATGGGTGGCTGGTTTACAGCTAGTCCCATTCCGGCCGTTTCCACCGAGGCCTGAGGGTAGTTAGTGAGCCATTCAGAATCTAGGGGCTGCACGGACGGTGGAGAGTCCTCGTGCAGCCGGTGTTCATCCTCTAGGCGCAAGGTCAGTACCTGGAGGGGCTGCCCTTCTGCGCCAGTAATAGTGGCCCCTTTTTGCTGAAAATGTATCTGGGCCCCTACTTTTGAAAGAAGGTCTCTGCCTAGGAGAGGGTAAGGGCCGTCTGGGACCAGTAAGAAGGAATGCGTTACTTGCCCAGTGCTCAGGTGGACCTTCCGTCCGGTTGTCCATCGATATAACTTGCCTCCAGTTGCCCCCTGAACCCAAGACGTTTTAGAGCTCAAGGGTCCTTTTGCCTCAGTTAAAACTGAATGTTGAGCCCCGTATCGACCAGGAAGGTCACCGGCTGTCCCCCCACTTTAAGGGTTATCCGAGGCTCAGGGGGGGGGTCCTGGCCCTGACACCCCTAATCTTCATCTTCTAGGGACAAAACAGGAATGGGCTTCTTTTCAGGTCCCTGCGTTTGGCCCTTCCTTGGGCAATCTTTAACCCAATGTCCTTTTTCCTTGCAGTAGGCACACTGGTCTCGTTCAACCCGTGGTCCTCTTTTGTCTCCCAGGTCCCTACTCTGTCCTGACTTACTCTGCCCTGAGCCCTGTACTACGGTGGCCAGTATAGCCTTCTATTAACCTCTGCAGAAAACCTGCCGGCGTCTCATCTTTTCCCTGCACTATAGCACGTACCTTTGCCAAATTGGTGGGGCGACGCCTGCCCCTTTGAGACCCGCTCGGAGTACCTGGCGATAGAGACGGAGCCGCTCCCTACCAGCAACAGTGTCGTAGTCCCAGGTCGGGCGAACCAAGGGGAAAACATCCTCAATCTCATTAGGCAGCCGGGTCGGCCTCCCATCGCCCCCGGACGTTTTTGCGAGCTTCGAGGGTAGCGCGCTGTCTCCTCCGTGGGAGGAGAGTCTGCAGGAGCTGTTGGCAGCCATCCCAGGTGTCCATTGGCTGGCTGGAAGACCAGGGCAAGATAATGTCAATATTAAAAGCTCCGTTCCTGGGCCACCCGACGTTGAAAGCCGGCCACTCCGAGGAGCAGAAGGTGACCCATCTTCGTCTTCTGACTTCGACCGAAAGATTGTGTGCCCGGCCGGCGACTTCTTTCCAGTGATCTAGAGTGAGGCTTGAAGGGGTGGTTACAGTCTGCCCCAGGGGTGTAGAGAAGGGGTGAGCGGTGAGGAGGAGGACAGGAAAGGAAGAGAAACACGGAACGAACAGACGCACACGAACGACAGGACTGGCGCGGCAGATTCAGATGGGAGCGGTCGCGAACCACGACCCTCCCGAAGAGGAGGGGGAGTGCCGGGGCTCCGTTCCTCTTCCAGACCACTCCGGAGTCCGACTGCGGAGGGGGACCAGGGGTCTCGGGCACGTCTGCCTCCCCCGCTGGTCCAAACACAGAATACAGAGTACAGCGTCCTGCAGGCACAATACAGACCCGGCACAACACAGACCCGGCCAGGCAGACAAACGGACGAGACAGATATGACATTTAGCGAGCTCGGTCTTACCTCCTACCGGTCTTAGGATTCAGTCTGGGGCGTCTCAGATCCCGGACGAGCCCCCAAATGTTGGACCCTGGCTCACGGGTGCCAGCGTGTCCCGGTGGACGCCCCAGAGACTCAGACCCCAGACAGGCAGATGCAGTCAGCAAGAGGGTTTATTGAACGTTTGCGCAAAACGGGCTCTCCGCCTCCGAGGAGGAAAAGAGCCCCGATTAGCAATTACAGGGATCTTTTAAGGCAAAAGGAAAGAAACCGCCTAAAGACAAAAGAACCGCGGAGTCGCATAGCATCCAGGTTGATTTCACAGAGGGTCAACATGAACCTATTCAGGGACATTCCAATCAGGGTGTGGGGGAAATGGTTTTCTTACTGTGAACAGAATGCTTTTAGTTGCTACAATTTCAGGAAGGCGCCTGGATGGGCTGCCTCTGGGTTAGGGCTGGCCCTACTTACAAGGGGGAGGTTTCTTCCTGAGCTTTGTTTGTATCCGGGCTATCTTGGTCTTCGTAGCCTTCTTTGAAATTGGCCCAGGCCCCATCCCCTGGTTTATTGTGGCCGAACTCTTCAGCCAAGGACCCCGCCCAGCTGCAATGGCAGTGGCTGGTTGTTCCAACTGGACCTCCAATTTCCTGGTTGGGCTGCTCTTTCCTTCTGCTGCAGTAAGTAAATTAAAACAAAACTAACCAAGTCCATTTTGAAACCAGCTCACCTAAGCCAACAGGTTTAAAATCTGGTTACTGACACCACAGGACTAGTTGTCAAGTGTTTCATGTTTGGTGTTTTCTTTAAGATTTTATTTAGTTTAGAGAGAGCATGAGATCAAACGTGGAGGGGGGGTAAGGGGGAGCAGAGAAAGAGGGAGAGAGAATTTCAAGGAGACACTGCACTGAACACAGCCTGACATGGGGCTCCATCTCCCAACCCTGAGATCAGGACCTGAGCTGAAACCAAGAGTCAGATAGATGCTCAACTGACTAAGCCACGCAGGCATCCCAGATATCAAATGTTTTAAACCAGATTTTCTTTCTTGTTCTCAATGACCTATAGAAAAAGGAATGGTTGTAAAAAAAGATTGAAGCAGGAAGGCAAAACTGGGAACTTTTATTTTTTTAAAGGAAACTCCACCTATAACATGGGGCTCAAACTCAAGAGCTAGAAATCAAGATTTGCATGTTCTGCTGACAGAGGGAGCCAGGTACCCCAAAACTGGGAACATTTATTTATTTAATTTTTTAGAGGATTTTATTTATTTATTCATGAAAGACACAGAGAGAGAGACAGAGACACAGGCAGAGGGAGAAGTAGGCTCCATGCAGGGAGCCCAATGTGGGACTCATCCCCCAACTCCAGGATCACACCCTGGGACGAAGGTGGGCACTAAACCACTGAGCAGCCCAGGCGTCCCAAAACTGGGAACTTTTGAAAGACCACTAGTCTGAGGTGATTACAAAGGCATAGTTCTGCCTAGATACAATGATCATGGTAAGTCTCAAAGGATTCCAAACCAGCACTTAAAATCCACAATTTGGATTAGCTAGTGTTAATGACTTCATGACCTTAAAGGCTCATTGAGATGGGAAGGAGAGGAGTTGGGCAATGACCAGATCTTACACTGATACTCGTTTTTCTGTATCTTTTCACTAGTTCTACTTAGGAGCCTATGTATTTATCATTTTCACTGGCTTCCTCATCGTCTTCTTGGTCTTCACCTTCTTCAAAGTCCCTGAGACCCGTGGCAGGATTTTTGAGGAAGTCACCCGAGCCTTCGAAGGGCAGGCGCAGGATGCCAACAGAGCGGAGAAGGGCCCCATTGTGGAGATGAACAGCATGCAGCCAGTGAAGGATCTTTTCACTTAGGAGACGCCACTGTCTAAGCCATGCCTCCTTCCCACCTCCCTCCCAACATGGAAAAACCACCTCTCCCGGATGAGGGAGAAATCGAATCAGGTTGTAACCCAGGACTGTTTCTGAATGCTGCTACTTGATTCCTTTCTCTTCCCCACACACTCCATGAGCACTCAGAAGAACCCAATGCTGGAGTTAGTTGTATCTTCAAAGGCTTTTGAAACGTTTCATTTCTTTTTTTTATATTTTTTTTTAATTAATTTATTTATCTATGATAGGCACACAGTGAGACAGAGAGAGGCAGAGACACAGGCAGAGGGAGAAGCAGGCTCCATGCACCGGGAGCCCGACGTGGGATTCGATCCCGGGTCTCCAGGATCGCACTCCTGGGCCAAAGGCAGGCGCCAAACCGCTGCGCCACCCAGGGATCCTGAAACGTTTCATTTCTTGGACATTCTCTTCTGTTTAGAAGAGACCAAGTGAACCTACCTTCATTTCAGGAGGAACTGGCCACTTGCCATATGACAACATTGCCAGCTCTTCCTACCTGGGGTTCTGGTAGGTCCTCACCAGGGCCAATAGGGGAATAAGAGTGAGGTGCAGCCCCCCCCAACACCACACACACACACACACACACACACACACACACACCCAGACCTCCCAGGAAGCATATCTACATAAGTGTGGAGGGCAGAGAGGGATTAAATAGAGGCACCCTCCTCGCTTCCATACAGCTCTGCAGAGCAAATTAACTTGAGTTTTATTTATTTTACCTTCTGGTTTTGTTGCATAAATATTTATTTTTTTAAGTGTAAAGTAATTTTACCAAATAATGCAAACATAAGGAAATTGAGGTTAGAGTTAGAGGGAGGTGCTTAAAGAGAGGTTTATAGGGTAGAAGATTTGATACGGGAGAGGTCAAGGTGCAATAAGGAGGGGAGATTCAGGGAGAAACAGAATGTGTTCTCAGACGGTGTGTGAAGTTTGCACGTTGCCTCTTAACCTTTCAGGTGGAAACTCTCAAGTTTAATTTCTCAGAAAAGTCATGTGCCTGTATTAAGCTACTGCTTACCTTTGGAATCTTTTTCTCTGTTTAAAATTACATGTAGTATTACTTGAAATCTAGGGTTATTATTAAGATGGGCATTATAGTTCACAGTGAATGATGGGTCCTAATTTTGGTTGGAGTCCAGAAGGAAGGGAAGGTTATTTCTAGAAATCCTTTCTCCTTGCACTGGACCAAATGACTTCTTACCCTTGTAGTGGACTCATTTTTTGTGGGGGTTTGTTTTGTTTGTTTTAAAAATATTCATGACACCCGCCTAGTAGGAGAACCTTCTAAATGAGCAACCCAAATAATGGTTCTCGATAGAGGTTCAGTATTTTCTCCATTTTGTTATTTAGGAGATTTTAGTTATTGATTGTTGTTTTGTTTTAAGCCATAGCTTTAAAAGAATTCAGAGGAGAATGTTCATAACTAACTTGGAATTTGTAACCTCAGCTCTGGGAGAGGATTTTTCCTGAACGACTATTATCTAATGGAAGTATGTTGTTGCTTTAGGGTCATGGCATGCTTGTTCTTCTGTTACCATATTTCCATAGTATTACGTACAAGTGCCCTTAGGGGCCCATACATTTGGGATGGTATGAGTAAATGTGCAGTGTAGCCCACACTTGAGAGTATGAATGTATACGCACTGTCACTTTGCTCTGGGTGGAAGTTGTTTATTGGTAACTTGTGTCCCCTATGCTCTATAGCCCCCTTTTGAATAGAATATGTTAAAACTCATCTCTATGTATATAAATAACACTGCCTCTGCTGGGTGGAATTTGCATCTATGGTTTTCTTCCAAACTTTAGAGTTCAGTCTCCCCTAGCTACCTTTCCTTGTTGGAGAGTTGGGAGAGAACTCCTTAAATCTTGACATTGAGGGTGGAGGATTCACCTCCCTCTAGAGCCAGATGGTGGGAATAGCAAAGAAAAGTGTGAGATCAGAACATTGTGGCCTCTTGGAAGAGAGTCGTGGAGAAGGGGCCTTTCTTTTTAAGGGGATAAGAAACAAACTGAAGACTTCTAACTATGGAGCATTTTAAGAGTCAGATGAGTTGGAAGGATGGATGCTTGCCCCAGGTCATGGACACCTCCACAAATCATCTAGTTTCCCAGTATTTTTATAAATGGAGATTGGGCCCCATGACACTTTACTCGGTCTTCCTTCTTACATAGGTTTTTTGATTACCCTTTCTCTCCTTGGTGCTTATATACTTAAGACCCTTTAGCCAAACCCTTGCCAATGACAGTATTTCAGTCACTAGTTCTCACTGTTTCCTCTGATCATTGAGCCTTTGGAAAAAAAATCTCACAGAGCTTATATGTAATGGGGCTTGGTTGAACAGATGACTTCCTGTAAGTGCACCTCTACTTCTGGCTTCTCAAAAACAGTGGGTTGGCAGTAATGCAGCGTGGAAGTTTTCCCATTTCTCAGTGACCAGATTGTGAATGTTTCCAAATGGATTTTCTATTATTAATGTTACCATGGTTCTTTGTTTTGAAATAAAAATTCTGAATGTACATGTGACATCATGGGCTTGGTTTTTTGGGTTTGTTTTGTTTTGGGTTTTTTTTTAAGATTATTTATTTATTTATTTATTTATTTATTTATTTATTCATAGAGACACAGAGAGAGAGAGAGAGAGGCAGAGACACAGGCAGAGGGAGAAGCAGGCTCCATGGGGAGAGCCTGATGTGGGACTCTCCAGGGTCTCCAGGATCACACCCTAGGCTGCAGGCGGCGCTAAAACCGCTGCGCCACAGGGGCTGCCCATGTTTTGGGTTTTTGTTTTTTTGATCCTTCCTATAACAAGAAAATCCGCTTTAAATCCTGGTTTGGCCACCCAATACCTGTTACCTAAGTTTCTTTTTAGAATCTAATACAAATGAAAACGGTACTCGTTTATGACACAGATGAAATGAACAGCCTTACTGCATTGCTTTGCACACTCAATAAATTGTTGTTTTGTTTCCCCAGTTAGAATACTTTTCTCTCTTCTGCTCTCTTTTTTAATTCCTTTCCCTACTAGACTTTGCTCTCTGAAATTCATCCTATTCTCATGTCAGGATATCCATATTACATGTATTCATCCATTTAAGATTATTTTTAAGTAATCTCCGCACCTAATGTGGGGCTTGAACCTACAACCCCAAGACCAAGAGTTGCACATCCTACCAACTGAGCTGGACAGGTGCCCCCCCATGTTACATTTATATACCTACTTAAGATCCTTCAGTAGCAAAAAAAAAAAAAAAAAAAAAAAAAAACCTAAGCCCCCATCACACCACCTTCCAAAGGCAAGGTCCCTGCTATCTTTTTAGTTTATCATTCCTTAGTTCCCACTTATACAAGAAAACACCCATTTCACTTCATCCATTAACACCTTTAACACACCCACTTCACTCATTAACACCTTCACACCTTCATTTATGTATTTCTGACATTCTCTACATTTCCTTTCACTTAAGCTATTTGAATGGCTTTTTATTTCTGTTTAGCTCAGGCATGAGCTCCATAAAGACTGCCTTATTGGGATCCCTGGGTGGCTCAGTGGTTTAGTGCCTGCTTTTGGCCCGGGTCCCCACATCGGGCTCCCTGCATGGAGCCTGCTTCTCCCTCTGCCTGTGTCTCTGCCTCTCATTAATAAATAAATAAAATAAATAAAACCTTTAAAAAATTAAAAAAAGACTGCCTTATTGGCAAACAGTCCCTCACACTTCTCTGTTAGTGAATGAGAATGAAACCCTGAATGTCCTGAAAGAACTTGGTGACTGCACCATAACCCCCATAATTGTGGGGATCTTAGCTCCCTTTTTCCATCTTTTATTTATTGATTGGAGAAAGAGTGGGAGAGGAGAACCAGACTCCCCAGTGAGCAGGGAGGTGGAGACACAGGTATGGATCCCAGGACCCAGAGATCACGACCTGAGCAGAAGGAGGAGGATTAACTGAGCCACCCAGGTGCCCCTCCCTTTTTCCATCTTTTAATTCATTCTCCAGGGGCACCTGAGTGGCTCAGTGGTTGAGTGTCTGCCTTCGGCTCAGGTTGTGATCCCAGGGTCTTGGGATTGAGTCCCACATAAGACTCCCTACACGGAACCTGCTTCTCCCTTTGCTTATGTCTCTGCCATTCTCTGTCTCATAAATACATAAAATATTTAAAAAATAATACTGCATTCTTGAATAACCAGAGTAATCAAAACAGATCCTGTCACTGCCCTTAAAGCCTTCCCATTACATCTTGTCACACTTAAAATATCATCCAAACTCCTTTACTCTGGCCTGTAGATTCTGTGACCGTACATCCCAGCTCACTCCTAGTGTAACTTAGGGTATTACACTAGCTTCTCATTCATTATCAAAATCACTTTAAAGATATCTTAACGGTTACTCTACCTAAAAGGTTTGCTTCCCCAACTTCATCTCTTACTATTCTGCTCACAGAAGTCTAGCCCCACTGGCCATTATAGTTCTCAAGTTCATTATCAATAGCTTTTTTTATATTTGTCCCATTGTGCATAGAACATTTTGCCTAAAAAAAAAAAAAAAAGAAAAGAACATTTTGCCTAAAAGATAAAAAAAGAACATTTTGCCTCAAAATTTTGTATGGCTCAGTCTATTTTGTAAGTTAGGTCTTAATTAACAACCACTGAAATATAAACTCAAAAGCAAATACCTTGTCTGTCTCACTGCTACTGTGAACACAGCGGAACATGGCTGGCTCCTATCAGAAGACAAAAACCACACAATGATTTAAACAGTGTAATATAGGGGATCCCTGGGTGGCGCAGCAGTTTAGTCCCTGCCTTTGGCTCAGGGCGTGATCCCGGGCTTGTGGGATCAAGTTCCACATCAGGCTCCCTGCATGGAGCCTGCTTCTCTCTCTGCCTCTCTGTGTCTCTCATGAATAAATAAATAAATCTTTTTAAAAAAATATTGTCAAACTGGGGCACCAGGCTGG